GCCAGTGAGAATTGCTTCTATTGCCACAACGCATATATGTACGTTTTATGTTTTAATGGAATAAAACTGTTGATTCGCGTGGGTGTTCAGGGATTTCCTTATTTTTAGCCTATTGTTGCTGATGCCTTCACAATTTCTGTATTAGTCCTTTTGACTTAACGTCAGAACCTTTTGAAAGTTATAAGTGCGCCGTCTTTTGTAATACATTAAGAAGTTTGCAAATAAATAACCTGGTGTTTACAAGATATCGGTGCGGCTCTTCCAGCGTACACAAACACCATCCGTCAATGTCGCTCTCTGATTCACTGAGATAGTGTAAACATATCCTTAGACTCTATTATTGGTGGACCATCTTTTGAAGTATGTGACAATCTGACGATGGAATTATTTATGCAATCCGATAAATTTATAAGTCTAATTATATTGCAAATTTAAAAAGGTATTTTATTGTTATTGTAATAACTATTTCTTTTGTGGATCTCAATTAAGTCTACTAAATACATGCGGCAATATAATATCAATATTATGGTGTATATTAAATTATAATATACTTATAATATCTAGAGTAAAACTGTAAATCATCAATCTCTATTCAATCTATCTGTCTATTAAAAACTACTTACTGTACAGTATTATACTTACTTGTATTTATTATGTTAAGTAAATTTACTATAGAAAACCTTTGAGAAGAATGAAATAATTCTTATTAAAGGTTTTCTAAATTTTTCCGAAATTATTGACACTTAATGTCTCAAAAATTAGCATTAAAGCTCAATGAACTGTGTGTGATAAAGACGTTTGTGCAAACTATCGTTTTCCGATGGACTCCAACCAATAATGTTTATTTATTGGATACCAAACGCTTTGTAAGTTCCGCTATCAAGTCTATAATGCCTTTCTTCAGAGCAATTTATTGTATTATTTGACCTGTGGATAGTAAATTTTCAAATATTGAAACTATCAAAGATTAAATGCTTAAAGTATGTTGTAAATAATATAATTATTACCATTTAGAAATAAATACATGTAATATATTTAAAATAAAGAAGTCTACTATATAAAGTCTACCATTCAGAAGAGGTCAATTGTAATTAAGTGAATTAAATTTTTATACTAATCCATGCATTTATCCTAATAATTGAAATAGTATTTCCTATCCATCCACATAAATATTTACGTCCAAATACATATATGTGACAGGTGAACAGAGCTAATCAACAAGGTACAGCCACTAATTCTAATTACATATTTATTCAAATGAAAATGCAGTGTATGGTTTAATTGCGAACGTACAGACAGTGATGTGACCGCATTGTCCCTAACACAGGGAACTATTGTTATTCTAATATATCCTATTCCAATTTTATGGTTACCCTTTAATTGGAAATGGTTGAAATACTTCGCTTTAAATTTCAATATTTGAATCTCAAAAATTATCATAATTAAAAAATTTAACACTTTCTTTGTATGTTCCAATTACCTTATTACAATAACTTCCATAGTAATATAATAATATATTTATTTCACATTGTCATAAGAGAATAATTATGATTTAAATTAATAATTATATTTAGCATTGGCGATTACTGAGAAGTTTAGTCATTAATTAGAAACATCATTAATTATTAAAAAATACATTTGCATAACATTGTTATTAAAAAGAAAATAAAATTAGAGTAGGTATTATAGCATATTTATGTAAAATTTTTATTGATGAATTTTCAGAATCTAGTTCAAATATCACATCATCTAATAATATCATTAAATCTAGTAAAAAATAGGTTATAAGTTTCTCATATAAAAATTAACTAAGATTAAATTAATCAAAATTTGATTCCTTATGTGTTAATTTGCTGTAGGTTAGAGAATTAAAAGGATATCCATAATATGTTATGAATTCTCTAATCTACAGCAAGTAAGTACCAACCGACTAACTTCTGCGTTGAAATATTGTGGAGTATTTATTTAATTGAATAGATTGAGTATACTCTAAGCTATTTCACAAACATTATATAATATGTATACCTACTACCGTGTAAAACAATTCATCAAGTTGCTCTACATACTGTACGTCCAAAACTAATTTAGTAGGTGACCCGCACATCTGATCGCTATTCGGTTCCTATCACTAACTACCGGGACGATGTTTGAATTAATTATACCTAGAGGAAGTTCATCAGAACGGGCTATATGTGCCATTATTTGAATTATAAACATAATTATTTGAGTGTTATTTAGTTCATTCAATTAACTATAAAGTTAAACGTTTCAATAATAAGAAATACCTAAAAAAATCATTTAAAAAAAAGTCATCATTGAATTTCATATTCTAATGTAGTATCAATGTGATTACATAGGTCTCTGTATCCATGTATTTATTTACTGATTCACATTTAAATTGATTGTCTTACTTCTAATAGCAAAATTCCTATATTCTGAGTACTATAAATGTTAGTTGAACTTAAAACCAACATCATGTTCGCAATTTCGTAGCTCAGTATCTAGCATAGGACGTAAAGCCTTACCGTAACGTTGATCTCTCTTCTATTCATTAGCCATCTTATTCACATTGTAATAAAACAAAGCTAAGTGTTTATATAAAGCTATCTTAGGTATCTTCTTAGCAGGTCACTTTTTATTACTGCATACTTTTTTTTTTTAATCGTACATCCCTCAATGCGATTAAAACTACTTATAGGTAGGATACTGTATAGGTATATCTACCTATACAGTATCGATTTATTGAATGTTCTTGACTTATACCAGATCAAGTAGGTACTACCTACTTATGGTTCAATGCAGAAAATGAGGTGTTCAAACAACCACCCTAGCTTGATACGCAGACTATCCTACTAGTATCAACCGACCTATTTTATCGAAGGTCAAGTAATATTGGATATTTACGCTACCATTCGTGTTTATCTATACATATAAATAAAATTGGAGTGTCTGTTTGTAATATTGAAATAACTGTTTTTTACTACATGCATATGAATATAAATATGGTACATATATCAAAATAACATTTTTTACAATTTTTGTCCGTCTGTCTGTTTGGTCCGGCTAATCTCTGAAATGGCTGGACCGATTTTGACGGAACTTTTATTGGCAGGTAGCTGATGTAATAAGGAGTAACTTAGGCTACTTTTATTTTAGAAAAATAAAGCTAAATTCCACTCGGACGAAGTCGCGGGTGCAGCTAGTTTGATAATAATATTTTAAATGAAACATTTACAAAAATGTACAATTTGTTTATATTAAATGGAATATATACCAATGTCACCGTCATGAAACAAGCGAAAAAATCTTCAATAAAATAAGATTATACATAGAATAGAAGACGCAGTAGTCTAGTAATTGATTACAAAGAGTTAAAATACACAACGTATACGAACTTTACTGTTTAATGACACAACGTTATTAAATAAAAAACTAATCTCTACAACATTAGCTAAAACTATAATTATAGTTAAAAAATATGGTAGTTAATTTAACCTTACCGGCATTAAAAAAATACTGTTATTACAAGGATAACAGTAATATTTAAAGGAAAAATGGAATAATAGAAAGCGAAGCATCATTTAGCAACAATTCCAAGACAATAAATTAACTATAAATATAAATAAATTAAAACTTAATAATAATGATACTGCGTTAGTTTAAAAACATTTAAAATAATAGTTTATGCAACGGGATAACTTTGTCAGTAGTAGTCTTCCTATTTTAGAAATATTGAAACCAATACATCATTACATATCAGAAAAACAATGTACTATAATCACAATAATTTAAATATACTAGCATAAATTAATGTAATATTTATAGAAACTAAACTACATTTAGTTTCTAAAACTTGAAAACAGTAAAATAGATATAGCAAGTCCGGACAATGTTCAATAATTGTATTATACAAATATATTTTTTCATATTTTAACATTAGATATACTAAATGCTAGTCAAAACTATCTTCATTTTCATTTCTCATATATGTATATTGATACATTTGGGAGATAATATATTTCTCAAACTATTAAATAAAAACTTTATACAAACATCGATACTTTTACCCTTACCGTAATGAACAATTAAAATGAAAGATCTTAGATAAATAATTATAATAGAAAATGCAACTACAGTATAGTAGTTTTTATATATATATGTACAACTCTGCAGACAGGACGCAGTGTGGTAGCACTTTCTGTACAAATGTACACATAATGATATGAGCAATTTTTGCTAAAATTTCTACAATCTATGGATCTGTCGACCAACTAATCCGCTCGTAGTTCATAGGTCACAATATTATCCTCTCCTTCAAAAAGGTTATGACGACACTATTCTCATCCTCTTTTCACAAATCAATCCACCGTAAGAAGAAAAGTGACGTCCATTCATGGTAGTGATTCATTAGATTGGTGATGTGTTCATTCTTTCTATGTTTAAATTACTTTCACACGTCTCTGTATTTGTGAACATAATAATGTATGTAACGTGCCCATTGTTAGCTTATTTGTGAAATTATATAGACTAATTGCAAACACTGTGAGACTATAGCTTTTTTTATAAGCCTATAAGAGGAAAATAAAAAAGAGCGCAGCACGACTTTGCTCCGTAAAAAATAGACTAGTTTGAAGCGAAATCGACGCTGCAGCGTATTCCATCCTTGTTGTTTAATGACGTACATTCCAAAGCCGACACGGGAGGGCAAAGTACAAATGTTTGTTCAAACTTTGAACACATGCTCACAGTTATGTTAATACTATTCACACACGTTCAAATACCTACATAACACATGGCTGCTTTGTGAGTGTTTGCGTATTTGAAACTATGTGTGCCAGCTTCACGCGTTTCTGTACGTCAATACACTTGAGAAATGCAATGTGTTTGGTTACTATAGCGTATCGTATTTTGAGCACACATCAAAGAGTTCATCTTCAAATATTTGCGTAGTTTGCCACACATGTGCAAAGTCCAGTCGCGTTCACGTTGGCGAGTGAATCGGTTGTGTTTATAATCATACAAGATGAATTGGAGCAATGAAAATGTTATCGAATTTTTAGAGTTACTACAAGGTGAACCGTGTATATGGAATCCAAAAAGCACGGAGCATAAAAATCGAAATTTGAATCTTGATGCTTGGATGAGAATAAAAAACAACTTTTCTTTGCCTTGTTCAATCCAAGATTTAAAAAGGAAGAGGAATTCCTTATTGACGCAATATAGGCAATATATAAAAAAAATTAAAGACTCTACTAAAATAGGCAACGGAGCAGACGTTTACAAACCATCATGGTTTGCTTTTGATACAATGAACAATTTCTTGGCAGCTTTATATGATTATCATCCAACAGCTTGTATTGAGGTGAGCGAATAACAACAATTTATAACACATATTTACATATAATTTACATATGCCCAGCTAGAAGATTTAAATGAATATGTTTCCGTTTTATGCTATACCTACTTCATTACAATAAGTAGGTATTCAAATAACAAGATCAATAATGTAATAGGTGATAACGATACATTATTAGCAGCTAAATACGAGTAGCTCTCGTTACAATTACAAGACAAGCAAGAGACAAACACGAGAAATACCTAACCAAGTAGTACCTATGTGTATAATGTATATGCGGAATTGACGATCCGTCTAGCTCCCCCACCGCCCGTCACACACATGCATGTCTTATACGTATCATTCATTCAGAGCAGAGGCCAGTGTTACCAGATTTAATCTCGTGATCGTACCAATTGTCCGCTAAATTGGCAAATATTTTTGCCACTTTAGCGGCAATTTTAGATTTGTTAATCTATAAATAAAAAAGCTTAAAGATTAAGTAGGTGCCTACTTCATGTTTCTTTAAATATCACTTGAGAGTAAACATGATAATTATCTATTTTAGCATTCATGGGTATAATGCATGACAGACAAATAGACACAGCCACATTTTACTAGTTATAAGTTACCAGTATACTGCAAGGAATAAAATAATAATATCTAATACCTACATCAAAATAACAGATATTTTTAAAATAATTAAAACCTCTAGTGTTGCTTGAAGCATAGATTTCTGCCGAATCTGGTCACCCGAACTGGCTATACAACTCGGTCCCTGCTGATGTAGACTGAGACTGTTGTTATGGTAAGGAGATGCGGTAGCGCATCTAAATCTATAGTAACTTTTGTTCGCATAATGTAATATTTTGTTTATGTAAAAGTACTTCTTTATGTTAAGTATTAGTAGTATAGTATGTTACATACTTGTACTACTATGTATATAGGTTACTCGCTACTTTATTTTTAAAAGAATGTCTCATATGGTGCCCCCATTTAAAAATTAAATTATAAGATATAAGTTATTCTATATCCCCGTGATACAATTTATACACACGTTACACATTAAGATCCGTTCAGTCTTTTAATATTTATAATAATATTGTTATGGATTATTCAGTAGGTACCTAGCGTAGTTAATTTTCTGATATGTAAACTATAACGCACATAGGTGCGGTAAAAAGTTGGGCAAAACTATCATCTAATAAACAACTACAATCTAGATGAAAGTTTTTCTCAAAGAAATAATATTTCACATAATTTTACCTCCTAAATATAATAAAAGACTCAATAGGTACAATGAGTTAAAAAAATATGAAAATTATAATGGTCATTTTACAATCCTAATGTAGTAATAAACTAATGTTTACACTCGGCTTGGTACTTACCAAAATACTAAGTAGGACAATACTGCAACACTTTCATAATAACAAACTAGTAACATCTCATAATAATTGCGTCTATGTTACACATCTACTATACCTACTACAGTAATAATTGTAACTATTTATAGCTACATATTATGATGTGCTATGTGCACTTATTTTATAGAGATCATCGGTAAAAAGAAATAGAAAATACTTATTAGTATTTCAACACAATTTTTTCTTATTATTTTACAGGACAGTACTGATGAAAAGGATGAAGAACTCGTGCATAAATCTTTATCAATGGAATCAAATATGGAGAGACCACTTTCTCCTGAACCAATTATTATCAGGCCTATAGCACCACATTCAAACAGTAGTAGTGAATCGGAATCATATCCTATCAGAAAACGACGGCGCGTAATGCAAGATATACTGAGAATTAAGGAGCATAATGACGATGAATACTTTCCCAATAAAAAAGTAACGGTCGAATGCGATTTGTATGGTCAATTATTGGCACAAAAATTAAAGCCTTTGAATACAAATGACAGACTAGTATTAATGAATGAAATTGATAACCTCGTATTCAAATACGTGATGAATATTAGGAAACGGAATAGTGAAACTACAATATATGTGCCACCTATGAATCCAACCACGGTTCAACCTGGGCCATCTACTATGAACACCCAGTCTCCAGATGTTTCAAAAGAAACATAAACATATCATAATAATAAGAAGTAACATTATATAATACAGAGTTTCAAAGAGACTCGGACATGTAATATATATTTGTATAAGCAGCTATAAAATATGTACAGTAAGTCTAACGATGATTTATATGGGTCCTTTGAATCACTTCGTTAACGCGTTTTGTTAATCTCTTTTCCCTGTTATAAATTATGTAATGTTTTATAATAAATAATACAATAAATGAAATCGTAATATTCGTCAAAATGCATTAATATGGATTCCAAATTAAAAATTTGGTTGAATTGATTTAGGCACCATTATTTATTTTATTTTAATGTAGTGAATAATATAAGATTGAAATGTGATTTTTTATGTATTTTATTATTATAGTAGCTACACGCCCCGGCTTCGCACGGGTGTACATGTATTATATACATAAACCTTTCTCTAGAATCACTCTATCTATAAAAAAACAGCTTCAAAATCCGTTGCGTAATTTTAAAGATTTAAGTATAGGGACAGACAGCGTTAGCCACTTTTTTTATACTAAGTAATGATGATGATGTAATGATATTTCTTATTTATTTAAGAAACATAATAAAATAGTTATTTTTACTAAGTTCCATTGTCAATTAATACCTACAACAAGTTTCCTTGTCCTGTCTAATCTTTATAAATCTCCAGAAAGACAAATTGTGGCACTCAAACATTTCTATAGATCATAGACCAGTGTTATTTTTCTCCTTACGAAAGTGTAACTCTTTTACGTTGAAATATAAAATTGCTGGGACTGAAAATTAGGCGCATATTTAATATCTAAAATACCTATTTTAACCAGTTACTTTCCTATCATTGTACTAAATTAAAAATGATTTTATATTAAAACTAGAACTAACTAATAAATACATATACAAAATAAAGAATTTTATGAGTTAAATGAAAACTTAACTAAAAAAGAGGTCAGTCGTAGTGTTACAAGCTGTTGCTGCTGATGCTGTTGTTTCTTTATAATGTAATAAAACATTATACAAAATGTGTATATTATAAATATAAGTTAATATGTAGAAGTACATTGTGCAGTACTAAGTTAATAACCTAATGTGATATAAATAGGAAATTTAATGACCTCGACCTGTCAACTGTCAGTTAAACATATAAATTGCATTATTTTACAAGGTAAATCAATTTGCATAAATAATATATTTTCTACATTATTTATATAAGTCAACTACAAGTTAACTAGGTAAGGCTTAAAATAACTTATTTTGACATGTAAGATGTCACAACATACCGGAAAAGCAGGTGCTACGTCTAACCACACATGTTCTTCTTATTTTAATCGCATTGGCATCAAATATATTACGAGACATAATATAGTACAAGTATTCGTCTAAAAAATATTGAGATAGATTACTATACAATAACATAATCTAATAATTACAACCTATACTTATAACTTATTGATATTTACGAGTATGTGGAATGAAGACGCAACAGTTAAAAAAACCCTTTTCGGCTCTTTATGAACGGCAGTCTCGGAGGTTTTAGTCTTCTGCCGTCCATGCAAAAAGAGTAGAATGGAGGGGAGCATCAACATTCCGGTGCATTATCTCCGTAGTGAACCATGCGAGGAATGAGGAGTTATGGTAGAGAGAAAGAACTGGTTACTATGTTTTTAGGCTGTAATGGTTTTTAGCCCTGAGATGAACGGATTTTGTATGATGGATTTTCACACAAAAAAATAGGTAGGAAACCTTTATTTCTCCTATTTTTGCCGCTAAGCAGCTCATAATTTGTATTTTGGTTGAAGGGTAACATAAATGTGCAGTAAGCAGTGAGTGAGTAAGTATGCAAGCATGACATCTTAGACCTCCGGAATGGCAACGGAAATGGAATGAGGGAAAAAATATGCGTCATACTGAATACATGATGCACAATCATGTATTACTAACAAAAAAGGTAATATCGGTGTCATAGTTTTTCTCTTCCTATATTGCGATGTTATAAATATGTCGATATAAGTATGTATATATGCATTGTACACTGTATGCATATGTAGTACATTTTTTATTTGACTACGGAATCATTGCGGTTCATCTCTGTTACCTTCCAAATAATATTCATGTTATTATTCGAAGTTTAACTGTATGTTCATTGTGAAATCAATAGAAACGGCTAACTTTATTAACCGTGACGAACGAATGAATTGTGTTAAATAGAGCGTTCGATAGTTAATACCTACTTGGTGCTTAAAGATAAACTAAAGATAAAAATATATTCTATATGATATGGACGAAGTAAGCATATGGCCCGCTTGATGTTAAAGGAACTACCAACATTTGCAATATCAGCGAAATCACTCGGCCGAGGCTAACCCTTTAGTGTTATGAAAATCTTGTGTCAGAGTACCCAATAGTTTCACTGTCATGACCCAACCTTCGAAGCGGAACACAAACATAAATAGAGAATTAGAGATATACTACGCAAGTACCGGAACGTGTGAATACAAACAGGTGGCAAGACAAAATTCTAATATTATTCAATAAAACTGTATTTTATTATTCCTGAATACATCTTACTCGTAATTTATAAATATTTGTTTTTTAAACACAGACAGACGACAATAAGCCCGATAATTAGGAATTTGAACAATGGATTACTAAGGATAAATCGATTATTATTAAAAATATATATATCTAATCGATTATTGTGCTAACAAAAATAATATATTTTTATACTCATCTCTTGTCACATCCTTACTACTATCATAAAGTTCGCTACGTGATACCAAAATGGAGCACAAAATATTTTAGCTATATCTATCTATAATTAATGAAATTTTGTAGACTTCTAATTCCACTGTAAATGTTTAATCTTTATGAATACCATGTAATTCTGCTACAAAATTTTTACTTAGGTACACTAAATCTAATTTTAGTCATGGTTTTGTCTTATGGTGCTTTATATTGACTACTAAGCCTAATTGACATACTGAGAAAGTGTAGCATTTGGCGCTAAAATGAATATCCAGACTGAGTTTAATGAATGAAGAATGTAATGATAGTGTAATGTCAGCTGACTTGTAAATGTACATCGTACTCGTGAACATCTGCTCTTTTAAAGCCTAGACTTTACTATTTAAAAATATTCTATTGATGACTATTTGAATTGACAATAGCTTCATATTCCTGGGATTACCAAAATATATTGTCACTATATTCTAAACGAATGCCTAAAAAATATTGTATTTCTTTCAAATGTAGTACTTGTTAGCACTGTATAATAAGTAATATAGGTAATTATAGGTACTGCATGCATGCAAGAGTAGGTAAGTACATATATATATATATATATATATATATCTACAAGCTGACTCGTTAGCGTTTTCGCCATTCTCACACTAGTACTATGTCCATTAAATTGTTTTATAATAAAAGCTAAATAATATTAATGTCGTAAATATGCAAATTGGGACCAATTTGTAAACTCCTATGTCTAAACCACAATCGGCATGTAGCTTAGCCTACCTAACTGACCTTCTGGTCGATGACATTAGAACGGAATAGAATGGTTAGATACTGCAGTCTAAAACCATAAGTATACATTGTTGACTGACACATATGCATATATTTACGCAACCGCATGCAACTTCACATCAATAATAGATGCATTTTTTTGTCAACAAACTGTTATATAGTACCTAATTACAAATTTATTTCATTAATCAAATTGTTTCACATTAGTATTACACATTTCAACATTGTTATTGTATTCTTAAGTTATACATTTTCTTAAGCCAGGGCTGAGATCTCCTTATAAGTATAATTAAATACTTGTGATAGGAGATCACACTCTTCCATGGTTATTTATTAATATGCTAAGGATTTGTTTCTGCTGTAAATGACGTGTGTGAGTGTGTGTATGGAAGGATGTTGGGTGTTCTTCATACACATATAATATATTCAACAACTCAAAACATACTAGTAATTATAGTATTACTAGTATGTTTTGTAACACACTAGTTATCGAAATTTATAAGATATACTATTAGCATCCCTCATACATTCCTATTTCTAAATACTAATAGTATTATTATCCCTATATATATATATATATATATATATATAATCAATGGATTTATATATAATCCATATGTTATCCCTATGATAACATTGCGTAGTTTACTTTATAACAGCTTGTAAACTAGGATAATGGTGAACTACTTAGCACAAAATACAGTGTTTATTTTTTTAGTAATTACAAAGGATCGAAAAGGCAAGGAGAATAGACAGAAAAAAAGAATAAACAGATTAATCCTCTGTTTATGTTTGAAAAAATAAACAAATTATAAAAAAAAATTGTCCTTAGGCTTATTTATTTTCATAGGGATAAGATTTGGATGTCGCAGGTATAATTTTAATTAACGTAAAATATCTTTCATTTAAATAGAAGTAGATTAATTTGGTATTTCACCTTAAATGGAAGCTACTAAGTTATTACAGAGGGAATAAACAGATTGGCTGCAGGTGTATGGTAAATATAGACAGATACTTAGATTTCAGAGATGTTAATTATTATATAATATAATTTAGAAAGAACATTTCAATCTAGACATTGAGAAAATCTAATTTTTTTTGTAGTTCTCTGTAGTTTTATTGTTTATACCTGTTTTTGTTAGATTGTGAAAAATATATAGGCATATAATAAACTAAAAACTGGATAAAAATTGTAAATTATATGAAAATAAAGAAAATACAATAGATAAACAAGAAAACAATTTTTTATGAACTTAAGGGATACGTGGATTAACAAAAAACTATTGTAAGGATAAATGTATGTACTTGTTAAGTAAATTGTCTATGAGCATTGATTATAATAATAAACGAGACAGTGTACACTAAAATGTCGTACCTATCATTTGCCTAACAAGCGCCACCCTTATACTATAGCTAGCTAATTGCCGCTAAATAATTAACAATACAATTTTTACATCTGTTTATTTATCATTATTTAAAATGCCCTAACTCTTTAACCTGGGAAGTTTGTAATATATTCACTGGAAGTTGATATTTAATTTAGTAATAGATTAATATAATTATTAAAGAAAGCTGTAAGGCTTTTAATAACTAAAAGATTATTAGTGAAACCAAATACTCATTTTCAAACAAAAAATATATGATTAAATTAATAACTATTCCTCTTAAAAGCTCAGTAAACAGTCGTATTGAACACCAGACACTTTCATCTTAAAAGAACAATGATAATAAAACGCATTGAAATCTTTGGCAAAAATAGAATAAATAATTTTCACAGGAAAGGATTAAAAGTTAATTAAAACACGAAGCCATTTTAGTCGAGACAATATTATTACCGGTGTAGTACATTGTTCCCTATAAAATGGAAACAAAGGCGGATAATTTAGTACAACAAAGAGGGGGATGTTCTAATTTCAAAATCAGTCTTTAGAAAATTTACAATCGACTGTTTACGGATTAAATACCGCTCGCGACAAAAGCCGAAATCAGTTTTACGTTTTACTCTAAAAAAAATAATGTCCATTTACTCGTCTAAATCGTAATCGTATGAAAAATATTGTGACGATATATATAATACTATCAATTGTTATATGTACTGTCATGATATTTAATTATTTAAAAATACAGTCCAATTAAGACCTTCCTTTTTTCTGAACTTTAGGTCAGGGTGAGGGGTAGTCAGGGTTTTATTTAATTTTGATTAAATAAAACCCGATGACTACCCCTCACCCTGACCTAAACACATTTCTTATGAGAACCTTCACTGTTTGCTCCCAGTAAAAATAACATTACATTGTTAATGACTATACTCGTACTTATATCACTAAACTTAATTGAACGCGGAGACGCGTTCAATTAAGTTTACTTACTGTACTGATTCATGATAATTAAAAGGAAATGTGATTGCGAAATCACGATATCGTACTGCTCATTCTTCCAGACCTATCACCTTGTAACAGTTTCAAGGGATGCAATTCACTACCTTACTCATATACCACTATTAATACCACAATACTACTTACAATTTAAATATCCGCATACTTATTCTGTATACACACTATACTATGAGAATTATATTATTTTAGCATTGTTGGACAAAAACATACCTATATGGTATAGATTTATAAATCATTAGAATTTGTTGATCCTGAAATAATTGAATTAAATTTTATTTCTATAATTTTCTTTAATACAAAATAAATAGATAAATACATTCCTATTATCTTATTCACAACACTGATGAAGTAGTCGTTTACAGGATAACCATAACAGTGTAGGTAGAAATTAATATATAAATATGTTTAATAGTATTTATTTATATTTCCCAGGCAACATATAATGTCTACAGATTCAAATACAAATATAGATGGGACAGAAGAAATCATTTACACATTTTACGAAACCTGACTAAAAATTGAAGTCATTAAGACAAATAATTGCTATCTGGGTTGAATCTAATGTAACAGGACTAAGTCTACTGTCGTATTTTGTTTATTCGAAAATTTGAATTGACTGAATTTGAAGTATTTTTGGAGAAAGATTAGACTATGTTCCGGTAAATTAAATATTCTTTGAATACAAATTATATCTTGAGTAAGAATAAACAAAAGTAGCAAAAGTATTGTTTACTTTAGTTAGTACCTACTCATAGTAGGTGACTTCGAAAAACTCATAGTAGGTGACTTCGAAAAACTCATAGTAGGTGACTTCGAAAAATGTGCGAGTTTTGTGTGACTCTCCTAGGTCACGGTCACTGGAGCCACCATCTGCATTTCTGGCAATACAAGTGACTGGCCGCGATATGATAGGCTGTGGGAAGTAGTGGGAACGGGTGGCCTGATCGTGATACGATATCGTTCGATCCAATCCATGACACACATCAAAGGTGACAGTATTGCGGCGCCCTGGGGTCTGTCAAAACCTGACCTGTACGAATGGCACGCTGTAGATAGCGTATCATGATGAAGTAGAATGAGGGTTGTAGTGTTTAAGTATAAAATGTAATATTTTCAGTTCTATTTTGTGAATAGTGATAAAACTGTGATCCCATATAAGCTAATAAAGAACTCTTACCTATCAGCATTCATTATTATCAACGTTCTAATGAAAAATTATTATATCACAAAAATCTTAAAAACACTACGTTTATCGGGGAGGCAGCAGTAGAATTACAGGAATAACAACGTGAAAAGTTCCAAAGAAACTAAGTCACTATTTATAATTATTTACTATTTAATATTATTATTATTTACTATTATATATATTATTATTATTTACTATTTAATATTATTTATAAACTAATTCATAAACACATTTAGAAACATAAGAAGATGACATGATTGTTTGTTATTTAACAACATTTCATTTAAGATTTGCATCAAATTTAGTACAATAATAGATATATTATTTTGGATTGTATTCTTCCAATTTCGTATCTAAGTTAATACACAGGGTACAGCTAATTATTTAATAATTAATTAATACAGACTGCAATTTAATGGACAGAAAGTTATGTAAATTTAATTTATTTGTTTAGTTTCTTGATAGTCGACTACATTGAACTCCGAACATTTTATAATACTCTCCGCAATCGTGTCAAGGTTACTTGTAGTCAAAGCCTCTCCTTAATTGCATTCTCCAGACATAACATTTGAGGTCGTCCTCAATTCTACTCGTTAATAAAATTCATCAATAAATTCTCCTTAAAATGTTCCTGTTGTACCATAATTTCTATTTCGATAGTATCTAACACAAACGAATCTTAAATAATTCTTTGATGTTCATAGAAGTCATGCAGTGTAACTCTTTGTTTTAGTAGTAGTACTTAACTCTTTGTTGTAATAATTTTCTAAGTATTTAGATAGAATAATTAGTTATTTTACAATAGTAGAATGAATTTGGGGGAGTACCTAATTAAAATTTTATTGAAGGTACATATTTATATTAATACATAATAATGTAATGTAGTAATTAGTGCTCTATTAAAATTAATTATTTTTAATCTTTAATTTTTTTTTCCAGTTCATTTAACTCTTAATGTAGAGTATATACTGAACAAATTTAGCATCTATATGTAGTATTTAAAGCCATCCAAAATATTTTGAGTTATTTTGATACGGTTTTCACGATCATTCTTATATATTTTCCTGGAATGTTTATATGTATATATAGTTATATAAATTCCATCACATCCATTGTAGTATACCCATGTTGTGTCCACACATATACTCTAGAGTTGAGTAGGGTCAACTCAGCAGTACCTAGTCGGGCCTATTAACAAAACGTCTTTACATGCCGATTTTATAGAAACCAACTGATCCGTCTAATCTGCCTCCAAGTCGTAAAGTATCTAGACACTTTTTGGATCTACATGAATATATAGCAGACTAATCGGAAATATTTTCAAGTCTAAATATATATATTTCAAAATTTTCTCTATGAAACCCAATAACAGTATAATAAGCTATAAATATGGATGTAATTGTTTCGTACACTATGACTATGGTCACACCTCCTAATGAAACTTCTTCAGAATATGTACGCGGAATGCATGTGCCGATACGATTGAACTCCAATGCGGACCTTTATATAGAACGGATTAGCGTTCAGCGTTGCGTGAAAATCAGGCTTCACATTGGCAAAGAGCTAGCCGAATTTATGCAACCGAAAATGAGAAAGAACTCGTTTCAATTTACATAAGAAGTAGCCCCGCGTGGTTCGAGGGTCACTCGTCAGTGTGTCTGTAGGTTTCGATACGGACGCCGTTGGTTGCGTTTTGTTAGCTCAACCGATTGCCGGTGCGTACGATATCAATATGTGTGAACGATATGTTTTTGTTGTCATCCTACTAGCGATAGCGACATCTTTCGTCAGTGATTGCAGCGCGAAATTAGCACGTAAGTTTTATGTTCTACTTTTAATTTTCTAATAAATATTCTAAATATATATTATGAAGCAAATAATGTAAAATATTAAACATAAAATTATTTTGTTTTTGTTTTCGAAAGATATATTATAGATCTATTTTTATTTTAATTATGTTAAATATTATACTTGTGAAACAACATCGAAATGTTTTACGACACCGATTGCAATGTGGAGAAGTAAAATACCAATATAAGCGTTTTACAATGATTTTGAAATAGTACCGGTTATAGGCTGCGGCGATTGAAGTGACTCAGTTAAATATACATATGTTTATAAAATAACAGCATGTGTTCTTCATAATTATATTCACTTACTCATAAAATAATAGAATAATAATGCAAAACTCAATTAAACTGTATTTTTTAAACATTATCTGTCATACATACATACTTTTTGCCGCAACACTGTTGTACTGTTTTACACATAAATGTATTTAAATAAACGTATGTATCTTTAGTATAGATTAGTTAGTGTACAGTTAATAAACTTTATTTTATAAGAAAGTAATTGATTACTATAACCTGTAAAAATTCCCAGAATATATAATAGTTTAGTCTAGTTTTTATCCAAAGGAATATAATAATGCAACATAATTATTATTAAATTTCCAACATAATAACATAGCATAATGTCCACATTACGTATATTATAATATGCAATAAACATATTAAAAATATTATATTTTAAATAATATTTTTAATATTATAATTATTACATACATTCGATAAATTCAAATCCAGGATTACTAACAAAGTACGATCCGCAATATCGCTGGAAATGTTTGAATGAATTTAGTATAACACTATGTATACTGGATTGAGAGAGCTTTATTTCTACTTATTATAAGTGTATATGAATGTTAAGACTAAGCTCTATTTATAAAGATTTTAGCAATATTTATGTATTATGCACTGATTCTGTCATAAAACATATAAAAGTTGTCAGTAATAACAACACATAAGAAATATGACGAGAGATATAGCTTATTCTGTAACTTCCGTAGTATTTTCACATCTACAGTCGACTGTTAGCACTTTCCATCCGGTGAGTCGTTTACTTGTTAGCTATTTACGTTGCAATATAGGTAATACTGAACATTAATAATTGCAATCATAAATTATATAGCCACAACTACCGTATTTATTTTATTTGCGAAACATCTTTACAAAACTGCTATACAAACCGTTTCGACACTCATAATATATGAGTAGATGTAAGTGGCCCAAATAACTGAGGTCAAAGTCAGTCCGACAAACTAGAAGTCGAGAAATATGGAAACATATCATTTTCGCCACAATTAATTAAATCACTAAAGGATTGATTTAATTAATTGTAATAATTAACTGTTGAATTTGACAAGATAGGAATTCTTAAGATCTATTCTAACCAGTTCATCTCAGGCATTTGATTTAAGAGAGTGCGTTCTTTATACATTTCTAACAACACAATTATAATATATCTATTCAATATTTCTAAGAATTTTCTACGACGTATATCCCACTAAGTATAGTTTCCCACCGACTACCTGCGCCATTTTCTAAAATGACACTTTATTTTGTGAAAATACATTTTACACAACATTTCTGAACAAAAGTCTTTACAAGGTCTCCTGTAGACAAACTTTTTTCCCAATAGTTATCTATTTACTCCAGCATGTAAGCATTTAAGCCTTTAAACTATATCAGTCACTTTAATTCTTATGCGGATATCAGGAAACTTCCTAGGAACTCCTAGGATCTCTAACATATGGCATAGATCGGGATATACATTGTACATTATATAATATATGTACGGTTATATATACATAATGTAAGCAATCACACAAACAGGGGAAGATTTCCCGAAATCTGATGTTTCCACTAAATAAAAATTACGGATATCAATACGGCACAAAAGCAGATATGTAAAAGAATGTAATGCCTAAATTGAATGATAAACTGAAAATAAACAAATATAGATATTGAGAACTAATTAGGTTAGAATTGCGAAATATAGAATGTATGTTGGATTAGAGGTCTAACCCTTCTGGGGTAAACTCTTAGCCACATTGTTTTTGTCGGTCCTTTGGGACAGAAACAAAAAATATGACAAATTTGTACAGAAATAAACCCCAAAATCCTTCAAAATGCAAAAAGCAGTCGAAGTCGGACATCTCAGATCTCATATTAAAAACTGCTTTTATATATCTACCCAAATAACTTAAATAAAATTTATGCAGAATATATATTTCTGATAATACTGAATTTTACTGATATAGTGACAGTAAATGGGTGAAAAAATAATTGAAAATATATTTTAATATTACATTTTGAATACTTACTTCAGTATTATTGATATATTAATCAGTACGTATACATTAAGAATATTATAAATGTTATAAATTACTATGATTTTTGTTAATGTCATGAAAACATAACGTCGCCTGTAACAATAGCTCCGTTTTGTGAAGATATTCACACTTCAACATTAAACAAATTTATTATTATTGTTATAATTGACTTTGGCTTTTATTTCTGTTGTTTTCTAACAATTCCTATTATGTTTGAATTTACTGTAAAATTACTAGTTACGGAGGTTATTTAGTTTACTCTTCCGGGTTTACAGTGTACTTATGAGGGATAAATAGACATCGCTATTACAATGAAATATGAAATATTCTATGCTATGATTTTATACAAATCATTAAAAGGTAAAAGCTAAAGGTTAAAGTAATGTACCGTATATCTAATCAAAGGTTCGCTGTAAAAGTACTCTATTTAATAGTCGCGTCAGTACTGAGCATACTAAAAACATATACAAGATATCATTAGAATTAACTTATTTCCTAATATGACGTTTTTCTCCGATGATTTATTTTCTTAGTTTTTAACAATGTAAAGCTTTTGAGTCATGGATATTCTCTCTTCTATTAGAGCTTATGAACATATTATTCACATGGAACTTTTAGTCAAATGCTTTAATTGATCCTCTGATCCGATCCAAAGGGGATTGAAATTACGACGGTCTGAGGAAGGTTCGCCCTGTCCAATCAATAGGTTTTAGCAACAGTTTACCATAACATGCTTGTTTGCCACCATTGTGGTCTAAAAAAAAGAATCTCTAGCGGAGGATTTACACAAAATTCGTATCCGGGAAACAGAGTTGGTTTTCAACCGCTGGATTTGTCCTTCGCGGGTTTCGAATGCCCTTTGTAGGTATTCATCCCTATTTTCGGTCGTGAAACTACAAAACAGCATTATATAAATTCGAAAACAATCTAAAAAGCTAAAAAGCGTTGAATGCATATCTTTACACTAAAGTACTGTACTACTTGGCGGTCTAACAGTTCAGTAACTCATGAGGTATAAACACAAACTTTTGTCACTATGTACTTGGTACAATATACAGAAGTATATTCTACTAGAGGAAACAACTGAGTTGTAGGAATCCCGAAGAATTTATATTCTAGAGCGATAATGGTCTATTCTGGATAAATCTGAATTCTTTATTTTGATATTGAAGGCTTTGAAGCCATGAATCACTAGGCTGTTACTTTCTGTAAAGTTATTTTCCTCTACAATTGAAGGTTAACTTGTTTTCTTAAAAACGACTTTAACCCTCAAAATTTATATGAACTTGGTTTGTTTGATTACACAAACGACTATATTTCCGAGAATAAGGTGTTTGACAATGCCGCAGTAACCTAATATAGTAATGCACATAATGCCATTTAAACAACCAAGTCTTATTTAAATATTTGTAGTTGTATTTCTAAACTACAGATTTAAATTTTATCTTATAAATAATTAGTTTATGCATTAATAATTAAATAGGATAAATATTCTTATACATATAATTGCTGTGATGTGGTTTGCTACGGTAATAATATTCAATGAAATCATTCCTGAATTTTAATTTTTAGCAAAATATTTAAGTCTACATAAGCCCACGACTTCCTCCTTGTCAGCTATTAAAGATAATAAAATTACAAAAAGAACAACATTTTTATTCATAAAATAGCAATATAAATAGATAGCGTATCTCAATTTATTAAAAATGAAGTTAACCTTTGTTATCTATTTAGCCTATAGGTAGCCTACATTATGTTCTGTAAAAAATCATCCTAATTCCTCCTGCCCCTTTTAGGTTTTTGAAACCTTAATATTAAACCTTATACTAACAGACAATAAGTTTTCCTCTCTTCATGATTTTTCGATTTTATATATGTAAAGAAAATTATAAAGAATATTTTTATTCATGACACAATCTTTGTCATCGGGCAATATCAATTGGACTAAGGATAAAAAGTAGTCTATATTCGAAATGTATTCCAAATATAATGATTAATTGAGCTGTTATTTGATTTAAAACGTTATTTGATATTGTAAACGAACACTTTGTTTCATGCGTCACTTCTATACTAATTTGTGAGATTATTTGTTAAGTACAACCTTACATCTATATAATAATTGAATGCATAACTGCAGCTGAATTATTATCATAAAAAGCATCACTTTTAAATCCTAAATAACGGCTATTTAAATGTGAATATAGCTAATCCATCATTATAATTCAAATACCAATTTTAATTTTAATGATGAGACAATATTTCGTTTCTTAAAATAGACAACTCTTGTAATCTGGCGGTTTAGCACACTACTTAAGTTCTGATGGTCTCGGGTTCGATTCTTGCTCAGTAAAAATATTTGTATTTATGATTATCATTGTTTTTATCGGTCTGGGTGCTTTCTATGAGTATCATGTACCTATTTACAAAACAAAAATAAGTATTAATATCATTTATATAGGACGTATAACATATCCTCTGCTTGCGTTGGGACTAGATGGCATTGTGTAAATTGTACAGGGGTGTTATTATTATAAAAATTCTCTAAAAAGATTACATACCTATATTTTGAAATGTATTCATATAATTTTCTGCTAAAAGAGTAATGTAAATAAAGTCTCGTATATAGTAGGTATACGAGCA